GATCAGGAATCTGCAGATGGTGCACCAGAACTCTGTGTACACTTGCCCCACGCCCCTGCAGGAGGGTGTGGCGCGCAGCTTTGAAGTGGAGCTGGCACGCCTGGGCACACCAGAAAGCTACTTCCTCAGCCTGCCTCGCGAGCTGAAGCAGAAACGCGATTTCATGGCCAAATTCTTGTCAGAGGCTGGAATGCGCCCAACCATTCCCGAGGGCGGATACTTTATGCTGGCCGACTGGTCGCCTCTGGCAAGCAAAGTCGATCTGAGCTCGGAGCCGGACAAGCACCGCGACTACAAGTTCACCAAGTGGATGACGAAGAACATGGGACTGCAGGGCATCCCGCCGAGTGCCTTCTACAGCGAGCTCAACAAGCCGCTGGGTGAGGACTTTGTGCGCTATTGCTTCATCAAGAAGCAGGAGAACCTGGACAAAGCAGCCGAGCTGCTCCGAAAGTGGAAATAAGGTACCAATCAATAAACGAATTTAATGCAATCGAAGTCGAAATGCTCCCTCCCCCCCGAATGCAGTAGCTAGTAGCCTAGGGCCTAACCTAGGAGGGGAGTGGGTGCTATTACATAATCAAGAGACAAACAACACGCCTGCCATTGTGTGGTGGTAGCCTTACTCCAATCTCATTTTATTAGCAATCCAATAACATTTTCATCCGCACCGTTCTTTGGATGTGTAGCTAGTGTCTCCGTGAGGGTATTGTGTATCGTTTTGCGTGTTCATTATACTAAGTGGATGGTCAGCTCGGTAGCGCTGCTTAGAGGTCGTACACCGACTTGAGGGCAAGTTCGGGTTGGTCGTAGCCCAGCTCCTCGATGGTGGGGATGCCCAGCTCCTTCAGGGTGGGGGTGATTTTCTCCAGCAAGTAGGGGTAGAGGGTGGCCTTTTGGTCACCGCACTTGTCCTTGCAGCCCTCCAGCCACCTGATGGCCAGAGCAATGTCGTTGACACGGCGAGCGCCGCGCAGGCCAGCCTCGATGATCTTGGGGCTGGGCACCAGATCCATGCCCAGCAGATCGTTCATGCCCTTGCGGATCTCCCAGCCGTCGATACCTTCGCGGCTGAAGTACTTCTCGTAGCGCTTGTCGAAGTCTTCAGCAGACTCCTCAGATCCGTGCAGGGCACGAACGGCAGCGACGCGCGACGAGGTCACGCCAATGGTGCCACGGATGGCGTTTCCAAGTTTACCGGCTGTGATGCGCAACATGGCTGTCGAAAATGCAGTTAATCAATATTAAATTTGCAAAAATTTGGTTAAGTAATCGCTCGGACTCACTTTTTTTCTTGACGTATGCCCTATAAAATATACTGCCAGACAGTCATAAATATACCGAAATAGACAGCCTCATTTTCAAGGTATATCGAAATATACCGAAATATATTAACCGATTTTGATATTCTACTTAATATTACCAGCTAGTTATGGTTCTTGCGCTAAATCTATAAGTTTATCTGATTGAAGAATCAATTCTCCATAAGATTGGCATGTTTTCATGACTTCCTATTATTTTGGAAACAGTGCTTTTCATTTTTTGCCTGTTGCTGGACCATACAAATTTAGGCTGCCAACGGTAAAAAAGTGAATGGGAATGGACGGCAGCTCGAATAAATTGAGTTGACGGAATAGTTATAGTATGTCCGTATACAATTGGCTTTTTTTTTATATTGCTATATTATCGTATATTTTGGGGGGTCACATGTTATTAGCGGGACTTTTTTGGCGATATATTTCTGAAATACTTCACACAATTTATAGTATATTTCTGACTGTTTTCTATCGATAAGTCTGCTGTCACACTGTCCGTCACTACAATTATTCAGCTGAAAATCGCGTTGTACGCTGAAAAAGAAGGCAATAAATAAGTGCTCCGGCTTAATAACCCAGTAACTAGCAATCAATTCAACAACAGAATGTCGGCAGCAGCAGGGTAAGTGCATTAATAGGAATTAGCAGCTCACTTTTCGGAAAAGCCCCTGCAATGCCTTTTGTGGCTTCTTTCTTCGACGCGTGCTTTGTTCCAGTGGCGGTGGCGTCCATTTTTCGGGGATAGCTATGATTTGCGCGGTCCAGTCTTTGGATAGTTTCCCTCTCTATATGGCCGCCCAACTGAGTCGGCTAGTGTGCTGCTGGTGGGCGTGTCCCGTGCGCAACTGCATTGCGATATTTTTGGGGAAAAACTTGAGGGCCAGCGTTTGAGGTTATGTTTGGTTTGGCGCTAGTTCTGTGTATTTTCGGCATGGACTCTCGTGCTCGCCGCCCGGCCTTGTGAGCTATGTGTGTGCAAATGGATCGCCGAGCGATTAGCATATAGATTAGCGATTAGCATATAGTTTGCACTTTGCCTTGGTTTCCAGAAAACTCGACGACGCTATCCCGCCGCCGCCGTTGCTGTGGACCGGCATGTTGCGTTGTTATGGCACCCCGCACTGTGCAGCCTCTCCTGCTGTAAATTATATCTGTTCATAAATAAATTCAAGAATCTGTTCTCTATTTGCCGCTTCAGATCGATTCCGCCTCCAGTTTCCTGGGCCCAGCGAAGCGACTTGGTCTATGTGATCATCGATGTTGAGTGCAAGGACATCGAACAGAAGTAAGTGACCTCCAGATCCCATTCGCTAGCTTTAACCGATCCTAACCGTTCTGTCTTGCCCACAGAGTGACAGAGAACAGCTTCAGCTTCAAGGGTGTGAACGCACTGGATGCGTCGAAGAAATACGAGGTCACGCTCAACTTTTTCGGTACTGTTGATCCCGAGAAGGTGACCAGCAAGAACATCGGGCGTTGCCTGGAATTCACAATACCCAAGAAGGCGAGCGGACCCTTCTGGCCCAGTCTGACCACGGACAAGACGAAGCTGCACTTCCTTAAGGCCAACTTTGCCAAGTGGCGCGATGAGTCCGATGATGAGGAAGGTGAGATCCTCGACTCTTCTCTGTTGAGCAAGCAAAGCATCTAATCTATTTTAAATGTTCCTCGAATATCAGCAGGTGACGCCAAAGACAATGGAATGTTTGGCAACTTCCTGAGCAATTCTGGTTCTGATTGGAACAATAAATTCGACGACTTCAATGTTGACGATGAGGAGGAGGACTCCGATGACAACATCCCGAGCCTCTCCCAGAACGATGACGAAGATGAGGAGGCCGGCGAGGGTGACAAGAAGCCGGCTGCTTAGAAAGTTTGCCGGTGTCAAGCATTTTGGAGTAGTCTTAGCGTTAGCCGAGGCGCTTATACCATTAAGTCCACACAAAACACACAGCAACACTCACACACACACACTATCTCTCCCCACTCTCACACACTACACACGAAAACACGAACACACAGCAATCATATGAAAACATCCGCATACGCATGCGTGCATACACTATTCCAAAAAGAAACCCATTTAACTTAACTGAATATTGGATGCGTATTCAGGTGAGGCGAGAGATGTTAACAAAAAGTAAAACGAAACGGAACAAAACACATTTGGCGCCGACAAGAAAACCATAAGTTTTACGCTAGAACTTAACAACAAGAGAAAAGCTACAACCAATTCATTGCAAAAAAAGTGTTTGCAGTTTATTATTTTTGTTTCCTGTAAATAAAGGAAATTACAATAAATAAAAACGTAAAAGATAAGCATCACAATACAATTCATTGGGAGGTGGGATCTCTGCTCCTAATGCGTTATCGATGTATCGATAAATTGTATCCTGTTGTTGCTGTGACAACGCGGGCACGCTTTAAAAACAATATTGCGGAGCATCAAAGTAAACAACGAAATTTCTTACAAAACAAGTGATATATTATTGTTGCTACAGCTACATTAGGAAATAGCTTCGTCGCAATCATGATGACTGGTGCGGCACCCCCAACAGAGCGGCGACTAGCCTTTGTGGCCGAATGGTATCAGACCGAGGCTGCCATCATTCGCACCTTCCTGGTCACCTACTTTGTGGCCGACAAGGCTGTGGAAGTGGTAAGTCGTGAATGCTGTATGCTCTGTTATAATTTGATAGCTAGTCTGTGGTCACTCCTCAGTTTGATCAACGCAGCAAGAAGACATTTCTGCGACGCACAAAGATACCGGAGCTGACGCAGCGTGACTTCTTTGTGGGCTCCAAGATCAATGTGTTCGGCCGGCAATTCGACATCGTTGACTACGCGGACGAGTCGACGCGCAGCAACTTGGCCAAATATCGCAAACGGTAAGGGGAGCTCTCTGTTCTATAAATGAATCCTATACGATCCGCGCATTTTCCATAGAGGATTCGTGCTACTTAAGAGCCACATGTGGCAGAAGCATCTGGGCAAATTCCTGAAAACACTGATCCAGAACAAAATTAACATAAATAACGGACAGATGGTCCAGTTCACATCCAAAATGGTGACACAGTTCCTCTCCGGGAAGCCCAAGACCGAAGTTGTATCCTCGTGAGTATTACCCACAGTTTTTCTTGGGGGACTTTTAAATCACACGCCTTCCCCGCCCTGCCCTGCCAGCGTCCTGATGAACGAACTATTGGCCGGCCCGGCCATCAGCCTGGAGCTGATCGGCGACAATGTGGTGGAGATAATGTCCGCCTGTGTCAAGTACAAGGGTGGGGACAGTGGCTCGTCCTCCTCCATGAAGCTGTCGTCCAGCCTGGAGCAGCTGTTCGGGCAGGAGGATGTGTGCTACGGCATCTACTGTCCCGATACCGAGGAGGATGTGGCCATAGACCTGAAGTTCTTCTTCGAGGAGCGCCACAGCATCATGAAGGAGTGTCTATTCAAGGGCACAACGCTGGCCATCATCAAGCCGCATAGCATTAAGGACGGCCTTCTGGGCGACATCATTGACGACATTCTGTCCAACGGCTTTAATGTGACGGCCATGCGCATGATTCTCATGGCGCGCATAAACTGCGAGGAGTTTTACGAGGTCTATCGCGGCATCCTGCCCGAGTACATACCCATGGTAGCGCAGCTGGCCAGCGGCGTGTGCATGTGCCTCGAGATCGCCTCTTCCGATCCTGGAAAGAGCAGCCACAGCGACTTCCGTACCTTCTGCGGTCCGATGGACCCAGAAATCGCCAAGCTGCTGCGTCCCCACACCCTACGCGCCAAGTTCGGCAAGTCCAAGGTGCTCAATGCAATTCACTGCACTGATCTGCCAGACGACACCAATCTGGAGCTGCAGTACATGTTCAAGATTCTCGACTGAAACCTAAAACCTTCCCAGTTTAGTTGTTTAGTTGATATTTATTTTCAGTTAGTGTGTGTGTGTGTGGGTGTGTGAGGGTCTGAATAAATTACAAGTACAATTGCATTACTAACTCCTAGAAATGAAGTGCCTAGATGCTGTCGCTGCGACTTGTGCTGGGGATATCCAGCTCATCCGAGTCGGAGCCATCCAAGCAGCCCCTCAAATACAGACCGCCCTTACGCTCCTGCAGCGTGTAGTCGTATGCGAGGAGTGCAAAGATTATGATGCACACCAACATGATCACCGCGTAGAAAAAGTACTCGGCCATCTGGGAACTGAGCAGTCCCAGCTCGGTAACCACAACCACAATGAGGTTGCCGAAGGCATTGTTCAGGAACCACGTGGCCGTCACCACGGACTTCATGGACGCAGGCGCCTGCGTGAAGGCGAACTGCAGCCCCGGAATGGACAGGAGCAGTTCGCCCAGCATCAGCAGGAAGAACTGCGGCAGCTGCCAGGAAATGTTGATCGTCTGGATGGGCGCATTCTATACGAATACAAGGGAGCGAGATTGGTGAGTATTGCAGGGCAATCTGTCATTGCCATTTGTAGTCTAACCATAATCTCTTGCTGTAGGGCGCCAGCACAGAAGAAGGAACCAGCGGAGCAGATGCCGCCCACAGTGACGCTGTTCAGGGGACTTAGCTCCCAATTGAAGTAGCGACGGAGCAATGGAACAGTCACGTACTGCCACAGCGGGATGAGCATGAAGAGGAAGATGGGGCCCGCAGCCTTGGCTTGATCCGGCTGGATGACCACCCCCAGCACTGTGGTGTTCATCATGGCCGCCTGGAAGGTCCAGCTGGAGTCCTGCTGGGCCAACAGAGCGAAGTAGAATGGAAGTGGAAGAAATAGCTTTGAGATCTAAATGGAAACATGGGAGAAGTTATCAAGTAAAAGATAATCTAGCCACTGAGCGACCGCTACTTACCCTCAGGACCTTGGAGACGTCGTTTACGAAGCCCTCGTCATAGACACCAATGGCATTGTGCAGCCAATAGCTGGAGCGCTTGTTGGACTTGCGACGACGCCACTTCGTCACCAGGGCCGTCTTTATACAGCCACAGAATTTGAAGAGTATATTGTCATCGGCCAGCTTCTCGGTCTTGTAGAAACATTTTCCAATCAGAAATATGACTGGAAACGGTGGAAAACTATTAGGACCAAGGATGGATGATGGATAATCACTTACGCCAGGCCATCAGGAAGGCGCTTTCGAGGGTGCCGAAGACGGCAGGGTAGCATTCCGCCTTGTCAAAGCATTGCGTGTTGGTCCGCACCAGCGGTGGCAGAATCTTGCTCAGAAAGATGCCAAAGTAATAGACGAAATAGTAGAAGGAGAAATACTCTGAAAGATGGACAGCCTGTTCGGGCATCTTGAACTGAAGGGCGCCCAACGACGTGATGCAGGCGCGGATCGAGCCGTTTCCCACTGCCAGGAACAGCAGGGCAATCGACACTAGCAGGCTACAAATATTGGCAATGCAGTCAGTCAGCCTCGCTGTGATCGAAGCGCGAACTTACATAATTGGTACTTCCATAGAGGGCAGCGACGTCATGGTCAGCAGCAGCCATCCGAAGGCGTAGAGGAAGCAGAAGGCGGAAATTGTGCGCACATTTCCCATGTAGCTGTCTGCCAGAACGGCCCCGATAATGGGGCAGAACTGGCCGAAGAAGTTGAATATGTGCAGCACCACCGTGGAGAAGCTCTCCGTGAAGTTGAGATCATCGCGCAGATAGAGGGCGAGAATGGCTGCAATTGAATAATAATCGGAATCGAATTATTCAATACACTCAGATTGATGTACTTATGGAGCATGAAATGAAGGTCATCGCCAGTGCAGGGGCCTGGAAAATGTCTGGGATGCAGCACCAAAATTTCCTATCTCCTTTTTGATGGAAAAATTCCTCGAAAAATAGGGAAAGGGAGCAGATCTTCAAGTTCTTATCAATGCACTTTATTATGCATTGTCAATACATATGTATTGTGTATTTATGTATATGTATGTGTGTACATATGCTCGCATCTGGCACTGATAAGCCAGGCTTTTGGCATATGGTCAAGACAAGGCAAGGTGATTGATGCGCGGCTGCTGGTTGGGTTACTCACTGCGTATGCCGTTCGCGGCAAAGGCCTCGAAGAACTTGGTGGCGAGTATAAAGTACACGGCGCGCGGGTACCGGTACTCCATGCGAATAGGTGGGGGAGCAAAGCCATAGTTGGGCAGAGAGCTGCGTTGGCGCGACTTTAGAAGTTTTCGCTCACTGTTCTGGCTCTGGCCCCAGGCTCCCCACTCGATGTCCCGTCCCTCCGGCTCATAGCTGGCCTGCGTGAGCTCCGCAAGGGCTGGCAGGGCTACAAAGATAAACACCAAGAGAAGATTGTGGATATCTGGCTTTATCTTATCACCATCAGCCATCAACTCACTTTCTTCGCTGCCGATTTCTGTTGCTCGAAACATTTTCCACAGAAGCGCTGCTAATCCGACGTGCGTGAACTGACGAGAAGAGTACCCAGAGAGACCCAATATTCGAGCTTGTTGTTGGCTTATTTGTTTTTCTGGCGGCGGATCAAGTTACAGACTTGCGGCTTTTGTGGGTCTGCCCTGCCACAATGAGCTGTATTGTAAATCTGTGCCGTGACTGACGACCGCTGATGAGCGCGGACGAAGAGCTACTAGCTTCTCGCTTTGTACACGACACGGGCGCAAGAGCAAACACTGCGATAAAGGCCAGCAGCCAGCCAGCCAATCAGTGCAGTTACAATGGAGCTAGAACTGGGGAAGGGGAGTTAACGCTACAGGTTATCTCTCCCCTTCAACGGCTACAGCTGATAAGTCCAAGTCGCGCTTAGTCAGACGTCTACCAAGTCACGGGACCAGGCTCAGCTGACTGACTGACTGGCCGACAGACCCACGGGCAGATAGGGATGATGGCACTAAAGAGATCCGTTTTACAGTCGCTGTCTAATGTTTTTGTACAATGGATTTTTATTAAATTACGCACAAGAAATTAAAACTAGACGTGCTTGGAGTCGAGGCCTTGTGGCTGGTTGATGATGGTCGAAGGTCCACCGATGAAATTCGCAAATATTGTCGCACCAAATGAGCCAAAAATAGGAGAAACACTCGGAAGTTGGGGGGCCGAGGCTGAAGGTGCTCTCACACCAGTTTTTTTGCCTCGAAGAAGCTCTTCAGGTGGCGCATCTGCCAGAAGCCCATGCACACGAGGACAACGGTCTGGGCCAGGGACCACCAGAGTACGCGCGAGTTGGTGCTCTCGCTAGTGTGACGGAAGCGCTCCTCGCGATAGCGCTGGTAGTTCTGCTCCTTGGTGATTTGCTCCACCTGGTCGAGGAGCTGGCGAATACGCAGCTGCAGTTCTGTCAGCTTCTCCTTCTGGGCCACATTGGCGTAGTCGATAGCATGCTCTCCCACCTGGATGTCCAGGTGAACGCGCAGTTGGGCCCCGCTGAACCAGGCCGTGCTGTTCGAGTACATGCAGATTACATGCTCGCCGGGCGTGTGTGAGGTGAATGAAATGCGGCCTTGGGAGCTGTACACACGGGAGAGGATGATTTTGTCGTCGCTGTCACGCACCTCCACATGCATGCCGATGCCTGGGGATGAGGGCATAAAGCCATTGGAGCGTGGATCGTATAGTTCCACCTTGTAGTTGACTGCGGATAGAGGAAGGCGTGTTTAGAGACTGCGTTGGCACTGTTGACCAGACGATGCCCGCTTACCTATCACAGTGGTTTCGTCGGGAACCTCCTCAATAAAGCACTTCCGCTCCGTCTCCGATATGTGGAAGTAGAGTCCGCAGGCACTTTGAAGGGCGCACAGCAGCAGGGCCAGGCAAATGAACTGATCTGGCATTTTGGAAAAATTTGTTATAACTTTTTCCACTAAATGTATAAGTTAAGCTCGCCGACACGTCATGAGAAAAAGTGCCAGATCGAAAGTGTTTGACATAGAGATGGCAGCGTGACAGGAATCTCGTTCCCGCAAATCATGTAAGTTTTTAATTTTCGTAGTCTCGTTTCCCATAAGAATTAAATTCAGAGTACCTCTAAAACAACAATATAGTTGTTGGCTTTCAACCCGATCTATTTTAAGCACGTTGAACTACTTTACATTTCCATTAAACAGTTATTTACACATTCGCCCAAATTTCGCCTACGCCATGCCATCCCTGACAACAAGTTTCTTACGGCTGGCAACGCTGCCGCAACAGCTGGAATTTCATGCCTGATGGCAGTGCCGAACATCTGCCACATTTGTTGACGTTTAACTTTTTTCCAATAAAATTCGTGAATCTGTAGTTCTGTTAGATAATGGACCTGATTCTTCTCGTGGGTGTCGCCGTGGCCCTGCTCTTCGTGATCTTGACAATATTTTTCCTGCAGAAAAAGAAGGGCGACACAGGTAAGGAGAGAAACCTTTGGGTTCACACATAAATTATTATTTTTTTTTGCTTCCAATAGAAACAAAGGAAGCCGCTGCGCCACCGCAACGTGGCGTCCCGCTGCGAGCCCAGGAGGGTGTGCCGCGTCGGGCCCAAATTGCCCGCAATCAGCGCAACCGACTGCGCCAAAATGCTCCTGCTGGAGCTCCGCCTGCAGCGGCTGCCGCCCAGATAGCCGACCCTGAGGGGGAAAATGACGATGAAAATCCCGATGGCGGTGGCCAGCGTGTTCTACAAGGTGCTGTGCTTGACGAGAAGATAGGTGCGAAGAAGCGGGCCAAGATGGAGGCCAAGGAACAGAAGCGTCTGCATCGGGAGCAGGAGCTGGTCGATAGAGAGCAGCGGAAGGTGAAGGAGGCCAAGGAAGAGGCTGAGCGCAAGCAGCAGGAGGATATCCAGGAAGAAGCAGAGCGCCGAAGAGCCGAGGCCGAACGTCTGGCAAGGGAGGAGCGCGAGCGCAAGGAGCACGAGGAGTATCTGAAAATGAAGGCCGCCTTTAGCGTCGAAGAAGAGGGCTTCGAGGAGGGGGACGCGGACGATCAGGATAATCTTCTGGCCGACTTTATACAGTACATCAAGGACAACAAGGTTGTCCTGTTGGAGGACTTGGCCGTTGCCTTTAAGCTAAAGACCCAGCAGGCCATAGAGCGCATCCAGGACCTGCAGGCCAACGGCACCATCACGGGTGTCATCGACGACCGCGGCAAGTTCATCTATGTCTCAGAGGCGGAGCTGGCGGCCGTGGCAAAGTTCATAAAGCAGCGTGGCCGCGTCTCCATTGCGGAGCTGGCTGAGAGCAGCAACAACCTGATAAACCTAACGCCCGTCTCAGCTGTTGCTGGCGAGGGCACCTCGTGATAAAATGTGTAAGCCATTTATAAATTCAATTTTTTATTTAGATGCACTGTTAAAATAATAACGAGAACAAATGAACACAATTCTAAGTCCTTCAATTAAATCTGGATCGTTGGCCGGAAGGGACTCGTAGCGTTTTTAAATACAAGCTGAAATATTATGACGTATCTTTTGGGGTTGGCTTTAGTTGAAATAAGGGTTGCGTACTTTCAGGCGGAATAGAGCAAGAATTGGAAATTTGATGAAGTATCTTTATGGTTAAGGTTTATTTGTAAAATCATGGCCTACTTTCAGGCGTAATTTCAACAATAACAAAAACAATCTTTGTTGTACAACAATTGACAACAACCGCAGGGCTGTTTTGGTTTGTTGTGTTCTCCGCTAGTTGTGGACCGATCAGGACGTGCGACGGCTCCCAGTAATTGTAATCCCTGTAAATGTAATTTACTTCATTGAGTACATACCAAGGACCAATGACCAAGGATTTTCTCTCATGCCACATTAGTCTTGTTTTCTCCGTTATTTACGAGACGTTCAGGCCGTGTTCTGGCTTCTGGTTATCTGAAAAAAGTCCTTGAGCCTTGAATAAGGACTTCGGCCGCCTATTCACACACAAATAATTTTCTCAGATATTTGTGGAGTGATCTTTGAGTGTCTTGGCTTCTTGTGGTTACATCCCCGATCGAATTAGTCCCGAAATCAAGTAAAAACGGACAACTTTAGGTCTTTAAAGCTATTAATCTTTGTTATACTAAAAATCGGATCTTGTAACAAATTCAGGCTAAATCTAATTCATATCATCGTCGTCCTCGTAGTCGTCCATTTCGTCGTCATCCTCGTCGTCGTCGCTGGTCACATCGGGGTCGGATGCCTGGGCCAGGCACTTGAGGCACTGGCAGACGAATATGTAGTTCTCGCGCAGCACCTTGTGGCGAGAGTGGCGGCTGCGCTCCAGCTGACAATCGTCCAGATAGGAAATACAGATTTCGTCACCCTCCTGGATGGGGGCCAGAGCTTTCAGAACGACAATATCGTTGGAGTAGGGGAACGTCGAGCAGGCGTTCGGCACACAGCTGTGGTTGATCTTGCTCTGCAGCAGGTACAGACCGGAGCCCTCGTTGTTCAGGAATTCGCCAGCGACTGTCAAGAGAGAAAAATAATATTAGCAGAAATCGAGTGAGTATTCAAAGTTGCACCCACATTCTCCGACTTTCGAGTACAGATCGTCGATGACAGTGTCCAGGGCAGTCTTGTCCGAGTTCGGCAGCGGCAGGTCAGACACCTTTGTCACCCACTGTGCCAGCACGCTGGTGGCGATTCCCTGGCTGTTTGTACCCATAATACCCATGAGAGTTTTAAATGCGTCTGGTGTGGTAAACTATAGAATAGGATAAAACGCACGTAAATATCTGGTTAAAGAATCCCTGGTGGTCCCCCCCAATTACAATGGCAAACTCCTCGGCGGCAAAGGCCTTGCAGAAGGCGCCGTAGAGCTGGTCCATCTGCTGCTCAAAGTTCTCGCCCAGCATTTTGTGGTAAATCTTCTGCTCGCGATTCACAATCAGCGCTTGGAAAGACTGCAGCTGCTCGAGAAACTCTGACTTCTTGCTGCTTTGCTGGTACATGGCCATCAGGCGTACGATTAGCATGATAGTGCCCGTCTCTGGGGGATAGTGCATCTTCTTCCAGGTCTCGTTTAGCACATTGATGGGATGTGTGTCGTCCGCGCGAAAGACGCCCATGCAGGCCACACGGTGGTAGCGCTTCTGGGCTTCCATCAGACAATCCTCTGAGCAGTAGCGCACCTTGCACCGCTGGCACTGCGTGAACTGGGCCACCCAGGACGCGGTGGGGTCATGCTGGAGAAGCGGCACCTCCAACTTCGCATCGCTAGCCAGGCGACGCACGTTTTCAAGCACAGTCTCCAGGGGCCGCATACAGTGGTCGCACGCCGCATAGCCGTAAGCCGCATTCCACGAGAATTGGCTGGACACAAAGGGCTCCTCCTCGAAGATTATCTCGTCCGTAGCATACGATTTGGTGGCCACCATGGCACGCCCCTGGTGAAGGGATGTTAATGCAGCTGGACGTGTAGATAATGGCATGAATCGCTTACCTTGCCGGGAATGTCCCGTATCTCAAAGTGGTTCATTTTGGCGCAAAACAAAAAAGGAAAACAAATTTCCAATTGCACGTGTGTTTTGGCTTGTTTGCCATTCACAGGGAAGGGTTTGAATCAGCTGTTCTGTGCCTGTCTGTCGTTAGCCAGCACTAAGAATCTTACCCGCCAAACTTACATACATTACATATTCAGATTTGAATCTGATCTGATTTGACTATTCTTCTTGACGATCTTGGCTTTGTTTTCCTTCATTTATTAAACCTTAATACTATTTATAGATGTGGTTCTTAATATAGTTGAATCAATTCAGGCTACACATCTCTGTGATGCAGTGTGCATTGTTTACAAGTGACTACAAGAGTCGAAGCCATCAAATGTGGAGAACGAGAGAAAGCTACGACCGCACAGTGAGAGAATCACTTCACACAGTAAGAGAGAGAAAGAGAGAGATATCAGTGGCGAACCCGTCACAGAAAACGCAAGATAACGCGAGAGATATATAGAGAGAGAGAGAGAGAGAGGGAGAGAGCAACGTTGAGGCATGAGCTTTGAGGGGCAGACAAGAATTCACCCGAGGCATGGAGCGAGCCAGCATTAACAGTCGACAGACCGAGCGTGAACACATCACAGTCGCAGAAGCGTACTCGAGTCGGTGGAACACGTCGCGCCATGTGGAGGCGAACCCCAATCAAATCCAAATACTGATTACGAAATTTGAATACGAGTGTTTACTTCGGGAACTACATGGATACTACGAGTGTACATACAAATTTCGATGGATAAAGAATAGATACGTGTAGTTCCTGTGTGATATAGTCACAGATTCCGGGCCCATTGTCTGTCTGTCTGTCAATGAATGGACTGTGAAACGGGTTCGTCGCCACAAGTGTATCAAAGCAAATGTCAAGAGTCAGTGCAGGTGCGAGTGGAAAAGTTTTGGCCGCCTTGAACGAAAATAGAAATCGGAGTCTGCTTGCCGGCTATACGAACGGAGATCTGTATCAAAATCTCTCGCATTTCCATCTGGTATCTGCTGCCCGGTCGCTAATGTCCAACTAATTAATAATTAGAGACAAGCGCGTGTCCATAATGGTTTTGCCGATTCACGGATCTACGGATTGACGGGGCACTAATCAAATTGGATCTCAATCGAGATTGAGAACTCAAACTAATTCCCCCTAGTGTAATGTGAAGCAATATCATAAGTACATACAAACACACATACATATGTACATATAAGGACGGTCCAGTCATCCCATATAAAGTGCAATCTATTTAAATTGAAACCAAACACAGTTCCAATAGCCAAGCCAAGCAGCGTCCTCCAACATGCAGTCGATGAAATCCAACGAACTGCCGGAGAATCCACGCGAGACCTCCAATCCCCTTTCGACGTTGATGTTTTGGTGAGTATCAAGGGAGTGCGGTCGGGCTATAGCGGGGTTGGTGTTGCTGTTGGGGAATGTGGGCTCTAATAGAACAGAACTTCCCCGCGTGACAACTACATTGTATATGTCTGACATGATGATTATTTCATTCAATGGCTCGCTTAATTTGCATTGCCCAAGTGATGGAAACTCTGGAAACTCTATCAAACTCTGTCTCTCTTTTTCTTTGGGGTTGGGAACTAGTCCAATGATAACACGATTGAATATATGACACTGAGCAGGGACACAATTTCTTTCGCTAAAAGTGAAAGAAGAGAGGTACATCGAAAAGGTACATACAATCAATGTATCCACATATATGCACATACATATTCATTTATAAATATGTTCTCGTGTGTATCTCTCGGATAGCAACCGCTTTCATTATTACCCTCTGATAAGATTCAAAGAATGTCAGGCTGTGGTGTCATAACATCGTAATAACTCTATCGCTATCTATGGCTCTTGGATATCTATATATATGTCTAACTGTGGTCTCGTTCTACTCTCATTAAACCCCAACCCCAATCGGATTTCTCTGCGGCATGAAGCTTTGCCATGCCCGTTCTCTTCAAAGGAAGGAAAAAGACCCTGGAACAACAGGATCTATATCGGGCACTCGAGGAGCACAAGTCAGGTGGGACACATACACACACACACACAAAGACTCAAGAAACATTTCATTTTCCTTTTTACTTTTACTCAACCAGACTCACTGGGCGATCGACTATGCGCTGCATGGGATGAGGAGGTATCAAAAAATGAGAATCCCCGCCTGGGACGCGTTATGACCAGAGTCTTTGGATGGCATTTGGTGGTCACTGGGGTGCTGCTGTTCCTCCAGGAATTTCTCACCAAGTGAGTTTCCACTAACAACACTGCGACCACTAACTCTTACCTTCGCAGGGTCACTCAGCCCATCTGTCTGTTTGGAATTATGGCATACTTTTCTGGTGCCGATGAGGATCTGTTCAAGGCGCAGCTCTATGCCAGCGGCCTCATTGCTTCCTCCGTGTTTACAGTGTTCTTTGGGCATCCCTACATGCTGGGACTCCTACATCTGGGTATGAAGATGCGCATTGGTGAGACCACTTCACATATCTTCATGGCTGCTTGCGGAGTAAACATTTCGTGCTTTCAGCTCTGAGCAGCCTCATCTATCGCAAGTCCCTGCGCCTTAGTCGCACTGCTTTAGGGGACACGACGGTAGGCCAGGTGGTTAATCTGCTCTCCAACGATGTGGGACGCTTCGACTTGGTCCTCATCAACGTACACTACCTCTGGGTGGCTCCACTGGAGCTCATTGTCGTCACGTACCTCATGTACATTGAGGCAAGTGACGGAGAGAATGTCTTAAAGATCTTTCCCAACCATTTTCCCCTCATTTGTTGCTGCAGATTGGCGTTTCCTCGCTGTTTGGCGTTGCCGTGATGCTCCTCTTTCTGCCCTTTCAATCGTATTTGGGCAAGCGGACGAGCGTCCTCAGACTGATGACTGCCCTGAGGACGGACGAGCGTGTGCGGATGATG